ATATATTACTTTAAACAGTGCTGAATTATATGATCCATCAACAGGTACCTGGACAACTACTGGTAGCATGAATAATGCACGATATTATCACACAGCATCTATATTATCAAATGGAAAAGTATTAGTTACTGGTGGACAAGGCATTGGATATATTACTTTAAACAGTGCTGAACTGTATGATCCATCAACAGGTATCTGGACAAGTACTAGTAACATGAATAATGCACGATATTTTCACACAGCATCTGCATTATCAAATGGAAAAGTATTAGTTACTGGTGGATATGATTATGGTTATTTAAATAGTGCTGAGCTGTATGATCCATCAACGGGTGTTTGGACAACTACTAATAACATGACTGATGCACGAAGCTATCACACAGCATCTATATTATTAAATGGAAAAGTATTAGTTACTGGTAGGTATGGTAATAGTGGTTTCTTGAATAGTGCAGAATTATACTAATTATTTCAAACAAATTAACTTCCGATCATTTTATTCTTTTTCTTGCAAGTAGTCCAAATTCCAAACAAAACTTTAGTTAGAACAACTGTTATCTTATGTTTTCCGGAACCATTTCCTTCCATATTTTTACTGAATTATTACATATTTTAATATTCCATTTCAAATAAAAAAATATATCTTTTTTTGTACTCTTATATATTAATTTACTAAGATTGAAAAAACCTTACAACTGATACGATAACTTTGATTATCCTTTCAAATACTCCATTAGTTTTATAATGTCGTTTTTCATAATATTTAATTATTTTGATAGTCTTCATTGAATTTAGCATTTATGATCACTGACACATGTCACTTACAAAAAAAATTTTGAAGTAAGTTCATGAATGACAGAGATGAACATATCTGTAAATAACAACAACAACAACAGATAATCTAAGATAGAATCTATAATCATATCAAATATATGAACAAATGACAATGACGATGAGGATGTTGTTGAGATAAACAAAATACTTACATTCAACTTACCTTATTTTTATAAGAATTTGTATTTTAACGAAACAGAATTAATAATAAGACAATTTCTATGTAATATTTCTTTGCGATTAGTAATTATATTATTCTCATTCTTAAATTAATTGATTAGTGCCGTTTATCTCTTCATATGCAAAAGTCGTGTTGAAATATCAGTGCAAAACTATACACAGATCTACTTTTTCTTCGTCATTTTAGTTTATTTTAGAAAATATGAAACTAGTCAACTTAGATTTGAAGATTCTTTAGCAGCCTTGGCTGAACATACACACTCCTAATCTTTCTAGAACCAACCATCCCTAAAATAAGAGTAAATTGATAGCAGTGGAAAACATCGAGATAAAATCGTAATAAGTAGAAAGAAGATTCGCTTATTAGATGTCGATCGATGGAATATAACGTCGTCTACCAACACATGACTGTTGCATAAGTGTTAGGTATCTATTTTAACAGTTCTTTTGATAGGAACTCAACTGTTCTATTATCTATTTATTTTAACTACATACTATAAAGCTCAAAATTATACCATTGATATCCGACTGCAGCCCGAACATGACCGTCAGGTTTTGGCTGCTTCCGTTTTTATCTTGACTGAGGTAGCCTTAGACCATCTACATATAGCATCTCAGTAATATGTAAAATCACATATCATGAGTAACGCGTTGCCTTACGGATACGTCGAGATATTCATGTGAATACAATTCTAATTTAATAGAAAATCTATGGTGGTACTGAAATTCATTGCTTTCTATTAATCTCGATAACAGCCACACTCTATAATATCTCTTAAGATATAAAGCAGATCACATATGAATCTATTTGTGATACAGATCGAAGTGATAGAGAGACACAACGGTATGTTTTTATTTACATATATTGTAGAGAATAATACTAATATTTTATAATTTCATTCAATCGTTGTTGAATTAAAATTCGACTTTTTGATCATGTGTGATCATGTTCAAACACACAATAAACAGGCACTATCTTGCGCCCTGCAGATAGACTCAATCATGAAGTTTTATGAAAACTGATATTTAACAAAAATATTTTTATTTTTTATTAAAATTTTTCTTCATAGCATTCAAAAGGTTGTAAACTAAATTGAACAATTGATTCAAGTATCCATTCAGGATGAAGAAAATGGACTCCATTTGAACGAGATAAAATAAATAATTCTTGTTGATTTAAATTATCAAATGGAAGTAATTCATAACAAAGTACAATCGTTAATATAGAATCATCAATGTCTGTGGTCAATGGAAATGTATTAAGAAGAGAACCGTGACATAACTGAATTAATGAAGCTAGTTCATTTTTTGTCTGAAAAAGAAAAGAAATCTAGTTATATCCATATCATATTCTCATCTATAAATAGTCATCTTATACTTACCATATTATCTTGGCAATCATCACATAAAATGAAAAATTTACAATTTTCAAATAATTTCATTTGTTTTGATAATCGACTTTTTCTCATTCCATCATGATATTCTCCAAAAGGAATATCACCACGTATTTCATAATTAATTTCATCAACAATATGATTTTGTTTTGAACATTCATTAATCCATTCGTAACTTATTACATATAGATGACGAGCAATCGACTGAAATAATTTCATTGTTAATGGACATAATAATGGTTTTTCTTCATTCCCAATAATTAAATGTGTTGTATGATCATCTATACAATCTGATATTGATATTTCATTAGAATGTTGTACGACAAAACATCGAAGATTAGTCTGAAAAACGAAAAAAAATATTAATTCTATAAATGAGTTTTTTTTATTATGTTACAACATACAATTTGTTGAATGTTTAAACATGAATATGCTACAACAATTCGTTTTTCATTAAATTGTAATAATGAATCAATAGTAGATTCAGTTGTAGTATCATCCGATGAAAATGATAAATCTAGAATTTTCTTTAGTTCATGTAAATCATCATCATGATCACCTTCAATTTTCTTTTGCTTTTTGCCATTGATTTTTACTGGTAATCTATTTTCTTTACGCATTTTAGCACGAGCATTTGTAAACCATATTGTTATTTGTGATGAAGACATATTTGTTTTCTTGATTAATTCTTCTCTTTCATTTTCATTTGGATCTAAAGAAAATCAATATATAAATATTCAGAAAAGAAAGATCAACGAAATTCAAAATATATACATGGATGATCTTGATTTTGATAAAGCCATTGTTTTAAAGGACCTGTCGAATTTCGTTCACGACCAGTTGTCTTGAATAACGTTGATAATTTTTCCTCACTCATAGTATTATCATTCTTTTTTGCAGGTAAAATTCGATTGTCTTTGCAATTCGATTTTGAATTTTGTGTTTGTTGACAATATGATTTCGTAGCTTTAATAAATTTAACGACTGTTGAATTATTACTATCAGTTGTTGAACATGGCTGTTGGTTGAGCATATCAGTTAATGATGAACCTGATGTTAGTATTACAATATCTACTAATGAATTATTCGATAACATCTTATTCAACTCAGAACTAAGTTCAATATGAAATAGCAGTTAGCATCTACAGGCGATATATAGACTGCACTTGAACAATGAACTGACGATAACATTTAGCAAAGCGGTCGGCGGCGATGACCAAAATTAGCAATTTTTTAAGAAAGGCACGGACTAGTCATAGCGGACGGATGATATCAAACAATGGCTACGGAAGCAAGTTGATACATACTGACTTTCAGCTTTAGTTTCTTGGAAACCTCGATCTCAGCACAAATATCTAATAAATATTATTTCATTTTCATTCTAAAATCTTTCTACACTGGAAAACTACTATGAAAATATTTTCTTTATTATGAATGTTCTGTGATTATTGACATGAAAAGAGAACAAGTAATTGGTTAAACATGATAATCACTAATTGGCTTACACATTTTTAATTACATGTCATTTTTCAGAACATTTCTTTGATTAATTTTAAATAAGTAACAAGATGATCTATTTTAATTGAAATTGGCTTTTAAATCTTTTTCTACAAAAACTGCTCGACAGACAGTTCATGTTTCATTCGTATCAAAAAATATGCATCGTTCACAACAATCACGTAGACGTCATCATTCTTCATCTTTTACTAAATTTGTTGCTCGTATTCAACATACATTTTCTTCAAAAAATATGAAATCATCAACACCTGTTATTCCAAATCAACAACCATCTTCTCATCCAGCTAATTCTACACCTGTAAGTTAAATCTTATATAAAATTTTAAAATATATAATTTTTTTATTTATAATAGATTCCAATTTTTCCATCATTTACTAATTATTCACGCTGTCGATTATCACAAATTCTTTATGATCCATCACGTCAAGTTGAATATTTAAGTGAAATAGAAGAACGAACAAATTCTGATATATCTGAACAATCTCTTGCGGTCGATGATACTGATTCATGTTATGATTCAATGAGTGAACATCGTAATGATCGTTTTAATTTATCACAAATGAATGTTAGTATGGATGAATTAAATGATTATCGACATCAACCAATGAAACTTCCAAAATTACCTTATACATTGAATAATGCTCGTCTTCATTCAACTGCTATCAATGATATGGGCAATTTCTAATATTTATAAATATATATGTATTTTTTTTTGTTATTATTATTATTATTTATTCATAATAAATTATTTGATGATCCTAGGGGTCGAATTATTAGAATAAAACGAATTTGTTTTTCTTAGAAATCATTTAATAGATAGATATAATTTTGTATGAGAAGATAAGTACATATTAATGTGGATAGAAAGATGAAAGAAAAGAAAACATAATATCAGATAAATAATTGAGTGAGCTGTAGACGATTGACAATTAATTAATGGTGAAAGGATCGTTATCAATTGAACATACAAGAATTATATGAAAATGACAAGCAGATTTATTTTATACTTTTTTCGATATAATGGATCTACTAATGATCATTGCTGATAGATTGTTATATATGTAAGGATTGTCGATAGATACACTGTTTCCATCTGTCAGCTAGTGACATTCAATATTGATTGGTTCTAATCATAGAAACGAATGACTCATCATTATTGGTACAAAGTTGTGTTCTGTAGGTTTGATATATAACTCAATCCATGTCATATCAATGGACGAACGTACTAGTGAAGATGATGACAAGGTCAAATGTGCCATGTTATTATCATCTTATGAATTTTTAACTTCAGTTTATGATATAACACGAGCTATATTTCGTCATTTACCTATTCGCTCAGTTGATTCATGTTCATTAGTATGTCAATCATGGGCACATATGTCTCGTTTAACGAAATCTCATCGTCAAACAATTCATGCATTAACTTATCCTTCAAATCCATTATCATCTACAACAATATGTTCAAATAAAATAGATGATTTTGATCAATTTATAATCTCCTATATAAATAATCATCTATGGTCAATTCCTACATTTGCATTAGTTGTTTCAACAAATATTTTAGCAAATAAAGGTTTTTATTCTTCACCAAATTCTCCACCACCATCAAAACATTCAGAAGCAGGAAATTTAACACGAATAACAACACGTTTTGATGTATCACAAGCACTTCAAAGACATTTAAATAAATCATGTAAAATTTTAATGATTGCTGCTGATGGAATAATTGCTTCAACAGAAAATAATCAATCGAATGAAATACAATCAAGTAAGAAAAAAATTTTTAATTTCAACAAGATAAAAAATATTTCTCTATTTCTATTTAATTAAGATGATGCTATTGGAATTTTATTTCTTCCACATTTCGCTCCAGAGATTCTTGGAGTTTACCCATTTGAAGTTCCATCAAGTGCACAAATATCATCGGATATGTCTCGGTCTGAATTACATCGTTTTCTTGGATCTGTACCAAATGATGTACCTATACGATGTGTTATATTTTTTTTTGTACAACGTCAATCCAATGCTGTTGATTGTATTAAAAAATTACTTGAACATTATCCATCGGAAATTGCTATTATTGGAAGTTTTGTTGATCAAATTAATTATGATGATAGACAAATTCATCCAACAAGAATTTCATGTGATGCATGTGGAATTGTTATAACAGGAGATAAAAAACGTTTACACATCGGAGAAATTTTATTAGAAAGTGATATACGTACACGTGAACAAATAAGTGATAAATTTAAAAAATTAAAATATTTAGACACAAATGAATATTTATCATTTGCTATACAAATAAGTTGTATTGCACGTGGAGAAGATTATTATAATGATGAAAATGTTGAATGTTCAGAATTTCGAAAATTATTTCCAAATACACCATTAATTGGTGTTTTTGGTAATGGAGAACTTGGACATGATTTTTTACCGAATTCAAATCAAAAAATAACAAAACAACAAACAGGAAAAGATTTATTTCGTGGTTATTCATCCGTCTTTACATTGATCTCATTACATCTTTGAACAGTATTTTTAATATATATATATATATAAATATTCATTTTTTGATTATGTTTGTTTTTGGTTTTTTTATTTCGAGTTGTAAATTAGTAATATAATCAAAAAATTTTCATTTTGATTTTTAGATGACTTCAAATAATTTACAGGTTAATAATAAACGTTCACATAAACATTTGAAATACATTCCATGGGAGCCAAATCGAGCAGCTGTATCAAGACTAGAACAAACAAAATATATTCATTCACCAACAACACCTGAACAATCTCTCTCAACACAATTATATCGATATCAAAATAATAGTAAATCTCCATCACCAACGACTGTGATCGGAAATAAAATTAAACCAACAGCCACTGTTGAACCATTCCAAGCATCAATTAATTTTGATGAAATTCTTTATGGCATGAGGTGAGTTGATCTTTAGTATATTAATGATATATATCCTCATATGCATAACAGAAAATAGCATGAATTTCTTTCACTTAGTTCATTCTAATGATATAGCATTATGTAAGACTCTTATATATAATTCGTTAATGACAAGCACTAATTGACTAATATTCATAAATCATCTACTAGTTAGATATCTGGACATTTCTGCTTTTAAGCATTGTGATAAACAATTCTATACAAATCAGAGATTTATTATGAACAAAATAAATTTCTATTTATTAATAGACCTGTAAGTCCAATTACTCATCCATCTCAAGATCTTAATTTCTCAAGTGATTATCAAGAAGTTAAAAATGAATTAGAACGTACTCAAGAAGAAAATGCTGGTCTTAAACAACAACTCGAAATCCAAACTCAAGTATTTATTTATAAATAAAATCGAATTTGAAAGAAAATTATTTTTTATTTCGTAGGTTAATAGTGAACTCAAAAAATTACTTGTAGCATCAGTAGGTACTGATTTTCAATATCGATTAGAACGACTTCTTCGGTAATTACGTTTATTTTTGTAGAAATAAGTAATTTATTTATTTTTCAGTGATAAATCTCGTTATGAAATTGAAATTCAAATATTAACGTCAAAAATAAATGATTTACTTGAAGAAATTGAAAAACTTACTATTCAATGTGATATTCATCAAAGTAAATCAGCAGCAAGCCGGTATATGATTTAATAATAATAATTTAAATTCAATAAATATCTTTTTCTATCCTATCTAGAGTACTTATTGATGAACTTGGTATGCATAAAAGTTTATTAGGTGTGCAATATAATGATTGTTCAAATGTTATACAACGTTTACTTGGTGAACGTTCAAAAATAGCCAAAGAACTAATTCAAACTCATAGGTAAATATCTACAAAAATTTTAAATCAAAATCTTGAATTTATTTTCATTTAGTTGTTTATCATTATTAAATGAATTAGCATTAAATAATACTCGAAAACATCTATCAATATCACCTAAATTTGATTTAATTCAACTTTCATCCTATATACAAACATTAGCAACATCACTTTATACTTATTTGAAACAAACTATATTTCATCAAAAAACAAATCAACGACAATTAAGTATACAACTTGAATTAACTGAAACTGAAAATTGTGCACTTGAAGTAATTATTATTTTTATGAAAAATGATTTGATTTTAACTTTTTTTTTCGGTTTAGATTTTACAAAGTCATACATTGACATCATCATTACAAACATCAAATAATTCAATTGAAAAAAATTTTGATAATATTGAACAATTAGAATCAATGATTAATCGTTTAAAATTAGTTAGCCAGAAAAAATCACATGAACGTTTTCATCCAACAACACGTTATGAAAATTTAACATTGAATTGTTGTCGTGATTGTGCGGGGGATATTTATATTGTTTAATCGACTTTATACTGGTGACTTATTTATCTCAAATAAAATATATATTCTTACTTCTATCTTTTTTTTATTGAGAGTATATATATAGAGAGAGAAATAGACAAATAATATTGTTTCACTTGTCTTAATTAGAAAAGACTATAGAAATTTTTTTAATAGATTTTCTGTTCTAATAAATAATATATATTATATTGTATGTCTATGATTCGTAATGAGAAAAACCCATACATCTATTTGATATGTAGTTAGAGCCGAAGTCCTACTGTGTTTTCATTAGAAATTACACATAAGACATCTTTGTCTATGTGATTCTGTATAATAAGTTAGAAAAACAATAATTATACTTTCAGACGTACATAAAACGTAGCAGACTATCGGATGACCAGACAATTAGCCAATTGTCTACGATTAAGAACTACGCATTCTACTAATGAGAGAAAACTTCCTCTCTTCTTTTCCTACTGCGTTCAATTTCAATTGTCTTTCTAGTATACGCGTTTAAAAAGGACGTCATTTCAACCTTGCGATTATTTCTAATTGACAAATATATTTATTTATAGAAATGAAACTGTTTTAATACAATAGAATATCGACTGTGAAATTATTAAAAAAAAACTATACATATGTTCTTTCGTATTTTTAAAAAATCACAACAACAAAAAATTGGTTTTATTTTTTATCTAAGTTTATACTACACGATGACAATAAATATAAGAATTTGTTTGTTGTTTTTTTAAACAATCAGTGAAAGTCTCGCGCTAGTATTTGTGTATTTGATGAATATCAAACGTGACAATTTGTGTTGTTTTAATAGACCAATTGCGAGATTTATTCAAAATGAATAATCTCTCGAATTTGTATTTATTAAATACGAGCCAGATTTGTTTTTTTTTGTAAAGTAATTAATTCAAGAATTTGATGTCATATTGAATAATTTAAAACGCCATTTTATTGGCATCGGTGATGATAATGTTGTTTTATCGATCAGTGATTGTTCTTCTGTTGATTGTTCTAAAAGATTTGAAACTTGTGTTTCATCAGATTTATTTGTATTTAATTTTTCTTTTTCTTCTTCTTCTTCTTGTTGTTGATCGTTTGTTAGATGACCAAATTTTCTTGCTAACATATCAATTTTTGCTCGTAATATTTCATTTTCATTGTTTAATTCTGTTACTTTTGTTTCTAATACAAGATCATTCATACGTCGTTTTACACGTGAACGTTTAGCAGATAGATTATTTTTCGATCGTTGTGACCAATAGACAGGATCTTTTTTTTCATCTGGTATAAAAGCACGTTTTTTACGACGTGATTTATTGTTTAATAGAGAATATTCTTTTTGTTGAATATCAGGACTAGAACATGAAGATGATGTTGAAAATGATGATGATGATGCTGATGAAGATGTTGAAATATCTTGATAAGGAGGATTTTCATAAGTATTGTGCCGATGTGGTGGAGAAAACGACGACGAAGACATGTATTGAAGTTATTCGAACAATTTTAATTGATCGTATACTAGTCATAAAAATGAGAAAGAGATCTCAAGACAACGACAATCTGCCCGCCCGACCGTTCAATAGTTCGTCGTCTGTCTGGACATTGAGTATTGCTCTTTCTCTTTCTCTTATTCTTCTACATTGACCAGACATTGATGGAGAATGTCTACCTTGAGTGAGAGAACGCGAGCAAAACGGAGCAGGAGGAGGAGGGCAGCAGACACATATACATAGACAGAATGAATTGATGGCGAGACGTTCGTGTCATAATAAACACACATAGTTTGCACTCGATAGAGCGAAAGAAAGAGAAAAAGGTCAAGTATAGATTTGTCTTTTTTTTCTCTCTTTTCTACCAATGGTTAATGAATTGTTCATAATTTTAGATCTGAAAATAGAAAAGAATCTCAATAAAAACATGTCATTATCATCAATGGAACATAAAATGCAAACAGCTATAGTACGACAAAAAATGAGTACTGTAGATGAAGAAGGTAGATTGAGAAAGGTATTATTTATAAATGAAAATAAGAAAAAAAAAAGAAAATATAAATTATTCGTAACTAATTTTACGTCTATTTCTAATTAGTTTGATATACGTGAAGATCCTGAACAAAAAGCTAAATGTGATCAAACAATGGAATTATTATTAGCTGCAGGCTATTTTCGTGTGCGGATCAAAGGATTGTCTGAATTTGATAAAGTAGTCTTTCATTTTCTTTTGTCTATACGTATACATACTCATCGCTTTTTGTTAGGTGGTTGGTGGTCTTGCCTGGAGCATTCAAGCTTGTAATTTTACTGTTGATATAGATGTTCTCTATCAAGAAAATGCTACTCTCGGTCAAAAAATGTATAAAAATAAACAGATTTTTTCATTTGTAATTAATAATCAAGAAAAACAAATTCTTTTATTTAATTAGAGCATTGACAGAACGTATTGTTCTTGTATTATCACGTATGAAATGTCCGTATGGAATTGAACCACATCAAATTCAAGGCGGTGATTTTATTCATATATTTCCTGTTGTTCAATGGCTTGTGAAACGAGTCTTTGAACGACGTGCGGAAATAGGTGATTTCAATCGATCTTATACATTAAATCAATATGAAAAACAATTCGGTGAAATAACAAATCAACAAACAACAATCTTAAAAGAGAATGTTGAAGCTATTCGAGTAAAATTAAATAAATATAATATCATAGAAAAAAACTCTAGTTTTCAGATTTGTCATCGACCTAAACGTCGTTATCGATGTTTGGATAATAAAACAAAACGATTGAATAATTCTGATGAACGTCATAAACGAATTCATTCTACACTTGTTGAATTTGGTCAAATACATCAATTACTTACATCAGCTGATGATCATGAGAAACCTCAACAAGATATTAATTCACTTGTTAAAAATATGGTCAATGAAAAAGTATATTTTATATATAAAAAGAAAAATTTTCATTTTTGTAAATTTTAGTCAAAAATTACTACACAAATTGTACATACATTAGTCAATCAACAACAAGATACATTACGTGAAATAATCGAAGATTTTGAAGAGAAGGAAAAAGCGCGTCTCGAAGAAGCACTTCTATCTGAAAATGGCCAACAACAATTAGCAATACGTACATTTAAAATCCAATTAAAAAAACAAATAGAACGAAAGAATGTATTACAAGCACAAATTGAACAAATAAAAATACAAAAAGAAGAAAAACGAAATAGTGCATTACAAGTAAATATTATATTTTTTCTTTTTCTGTTGATAATTATTTATTTTTAAATATAAGATTAAACAACAATATGAACAATTAAATGATGAAATTGAACAAATTAATATACAAGCTAAAAATATTGATCCTGAGTAATTTATTTCTATTGAAAATAAAAATAATCTCGAATTTTTCTTATTTAGATCTCTTAAACGTACGGAAATACTTGTAGCTGAATATGAAGCAGTAAAAAAAGAAGAAAGTGAACGACGTGCGATATATAAAAATGAAAAAAATGAACTTGAACAAGAACTTTCACAATTAGAAATTCGTTTACAATCATCATCATCAGATATTGATGCGGCAGAAAATGAGAAAATAAAACAAATTGAGGAACAACATCAATTAGTTACTAATCGATTACAAAATCAAAGGCTTCTACTAGTAAATTATTATTATAGTCCTTTTACAAATACATTTACACAATCTTTTAGGCACAAAAAGTCCGAGAAATTTCAACAATTAGTCGACATATGGATGATATTCCAACTTCAATTGAATTAGCTCAATATCGTCAAGCATTTTTTCAATTATATAATCAAAGTGCTGTTTTATATCGACAAACCAAACAAAACTATACATTATATAATACATTTACTGATATGATAGATTATATGACAAAAGAAATAACAGTAATTGAATCAATTTATCAAGGTTATCCACAGTATGTGAAAGATAATTTTGAAAAAAAATATTTTCTTATGTTTTTTTCAAGAGCAATTCTAACACCAAATGGTAAAGAACATTTTCTTACACAACTAGAAACAATTGTTGAAAGTGTTAAAATCAATCGAATTAAAATCGATCGACGGCATCAAGAAGAAAAATATAAACGTGATGCATTGAATATTGATTTGTCAGAATTAGTTGATAAATCTAGACAATATGCAAAAGTTTTTAAAGATTTTCAAGAAGTATAATTTTATTACAATATTAATGAATTGAAACTAAAATTTCTCTTTTCATTCTAGGCAATCCGAGAAAATGAAGAACTCCTTTCCAAATCTCAATAAACTTGTCTTATATTTTTTAAATAAAACGAAAATTTATTTTATTCTGTATTTTTCATCTAATAAATATAAAACATTTTTTTTTCTGAACTATCTAATAAGTTTATTTATGAAAATTAAATATAATTAATTACAAAATATTTCTATTATGTTCATCATGAATTAATGTTGAAGAATTTTTTTCTTTTTTAACATGTTCAATCAATACAAATGTTAATGCAATAGCTGGTACTAATAATATTATATGTATTATATCGAATATAACAACAGCATATGTATAATTTAAAAGAATTCGTACAATAAGATCAAATGATGTATAAATTAATTTTGCAATTAATAGATGGGCAGTTACTCGAATTAATTGCCAGATTGTTTGTTTTCGACAGATAATAATTAAACACCAAATTAAAACACCAAAAACTAGTACACAATAACCAATCCAATATGTTATATAAGCAATTTTAGATCGTGGAGATACTTCAGCAAGTGGAAGACGTTTTATATGATTTAATAAATGTGGAATATAAGTTAAAGTACTGCATATATGAAATAAAACAAGGCAAATACGATAAAAATGCATGATGAGAATATGTATAGATAGTCTATTTAAGTTTGTTTCAAGCACTAGAGTTCTTTAACAAATAAGTCGACAAATGCCATCAGAACTATTATATATATATTATTTTGCGTTCTTTTTTTTTGTGTGTTTCTGATTAAAGACCATAGGAAATGAGACGAGTATAAAAGAAATAGAGATAAAAGAAAAGCAGCTTCTTCTTTTTCATATATCCGTGACTGAGAACTTTCCTATCAATTAATTTTTCGATTCAAGATTATACAATAATTATTCTTTTTACTTGAGAAGATAATTTATATGAATTAAATCTCCTATATATATATATGTTGCAAAGACAATATAAGCATCTTCTGTCAAAATTATTTATATCTATGATATTGATATCGAATGTATGATTGCAAAAATAAACAATTTTGACATCATAAAATCTTGAATAAGTAAGTATTCATGAGAGATGACATTGGAATATTTATTCTATTTCAAATATTTTTTTTTCTTTTCATAGTATCATGCGATATCCACATTTTCTACAATGGTCATGACCCGTTATTTCGTCGACGGATATATGAAAAACAGAGAATATATTTTGCCCTTTTGGTTATTTCTTACAAAGAGAATAATGGCAAATATTTCTTTGTTAAAAGCAAAGGAATGAAACAAATGGTAATGGAAGTTAATTAGACAAAACTAGAATCATTATCTCGCTCTTTGACATCTTCATATTGGTATTTCCTTGGAATTTTTCAACAATAGCTATTCATACTTTCTAAGTTTTATTTGATGTAACACAAGAAGAAATAGTTTATACATGTGTATTCAATAAATATTTATTAAAGTGAAAAATCTCCTCTACCATCTGTTGATTCTTCATTAGCACGTGTTTGAATTGATTCGAATTTTAATGTATGTTGTTCATATTTAGAAACGTTTTTAGCTAAATGAAATGTAAGTAATATTGCTGCTAAAAATATCCATACACAAATAACATCGAGAAAAAGTTCTGGACGAGGAATAGGCTTTGTATCAAGAGCGTGTTGAACAATAACTGTAAAAGTTTGTAATAATTCTCCAATTAATAATACACCACTTGCACGGATTAATCCAGCATCATAACGATGTCTAAGCCATAGAGCAAGAATACATAATGAATGATAAAATGTTGTGCAAAATAAATGATTTAAATAACCAATAATTGATGAAATTTGTTTTTCAGTATTAGATTCATTTGAAGTACGAGATAAATGAGGATGAAGACTATAGATTAAAAAAATCGTTATAAAAACATGTAATAAAATAAGTGTAAGACGAATTTTTGCCATAATTTCTGTTTTCTGATTTATAATATGTCTATATATAAGAATAAAAACAGAATTTTATCTTTTTCGAGGGGAAAAATTCAACATACATCACATTCCAATAAAACTGTTTTCTTTTAAAGTTCTGAAAATATGAAATAAATAATTTAAATACTGTTTTTTTTACAAATAAATTAAAAGAAAGTTACCAAGTCAACGATATCCTAAATATAAAATGATCCCTATTCTTATACATGTCTTACACTGCTTTTGCTCCTCTCTTGTACGTGTATAGATAAGATAAGTTTTTTTCAACAAATATCAATCATTTCGTCATACACAAATCTTTGTTTCTAGTAAAAAAATGACAATTACAACAAATTTTCAAAAATCATTCATTATCTTGTTAATCTTTTTCTTCTTAAATTAAATTCAAAATACTCGATGTATTTATTTTTTTGTATATGTGAATTTACATCATTCTTTTGATTAATACCAACTCATGAATATTACTGTGTTCTCTATGTATAAAGTTCGTATGCGTGATGATATATATTTATATATCTATCTATATTTTTCATTCTCTTCAATTTGTTATAACCCCAAAAAGAAGTATTCGTGACGATTGTATGTAATAAAAACATCAAGATAGATATCTTAACGTGACAATCGTTAGATTTGACCAAACTGTCCGATATTTTAATTGGACACTGGACATGTCCCGATGATAATGACGAAGAAAAATATCTTACATTTTCATTAATATCATTAGTTTGTTATTCAAAGAGTAAAGTGATATGAAATTCTTAGTTGAAGAACGAATATATCCTTTACGTAATAATAATAATAATAATCAAGAACAAAATGACTTTATTAATAAAAATCAATCATCAGATGATAAAGGTATAGATTAAAAATATATTTTATTTTTATTAAGAATATACATTTTTTTAAGATCCTTCATCATCAATTGAAGCTTTACAAAATGTTCTTGCAAATAAATTTTATCCTAATCATAATTCAACTAAATTTTTAAAAAATTATTTTAATTCTTCAATTAATGAAAAACAATTTAATCATATTTGTTCTTCATTATCAAAGAGAATCGAAACATATTCTCTTTCAAATCATTCAACAATGGCTATAACAGCAACAACAAATTTTTCAGAAGAACAAACAAATACTATTGAATATGATAATACTTATTTGTCTTCTGAAGAAATAACTCGATTAGATGATATATCATCTCTTACAACAATTACATCGAATTTATCAAAAGAATTTAGTTTTGAACAAAATACAAGTGTTTATTTAGATACAACTATTTGTAATTCAGATATCGATGAAATTTCAGAAGAAATGACATCGGATATCAAACAATATAATTATAATAATATGAATTTTGATTTACAGTAAGTTAAATTTAAGATTAACAAAGTCAATAGAATTTTATATTGATGATGATAAGTGTGAAAATTCAGTGTATACTGTTTTAGTACTAATGAATTGTTGAGTAGTATGCCTTGAGTGAATAGTTCTAAGTATTGTAGTTTAAAACATCAATGACACTAATTGAATAAGAAACAATAGTTAAATGAGATTGTTTATAAAAGTACTTCTAATAATATTGTTTCTTTCAATGTTTTCTTTTTTAATAACCTACGGCTTATTTAAACATATTCTCTTTTCGACATTTTCTGTCAATTCCATTTAGTTAAAGTGTCTACTGTTTTATTATATAAGCTTCGTCAACAATTTGAATGCCAAAGAGAAAGAAACTCTTTCTTTCTCTAATACAAGTATTTAGTTAGAGCATATATTTCTACGAGTCTAAATATTTAATTTCAATCTTTTAATCTAATCGTTTTTTTCTGCATAGAAATTCCAATGTGAAAAATAAAGATGAAGAGATTATTCAAATACATAGAAATCAAACTCCAACTAATAATAGTTTTACTGGTGTAGCTCATGCAGTAAAATATACAATTATAAAAGAAAATAATGAACAAACTTTATCCGATTATGACAATGTTAGTCATCGTTCTAAATATAATAGTAAGATAAGGTCACATGCAGACATTGTCTCGGTAAATTCATCGATGACATCGACTATACAATATAATCATTGTCCTATGATGTTATACGGTGAACAACTAAATAAACAAGAAAGAACGAGCACAAGTGAAGATAATGATGATTATTATTATGATGACGACGATGATTATATTATAATAGATCAACAGAATCCAATTGTTCAGTTAACAATGATGAATAATGAAAGTGAAATTGAACTGGAAGAAGATGATGATGATGAATATTATCAAGAAATAGACTCAAGAAGGTTATTTGATAATGAACAACTTAATGGATATATTTCAGATGATATAAGGTTAGATTCATATAATTTTTAATATGTATATAAATCAAAATTCTTTTGAATTATTTCATATTAAAATCGACTTTTCTTTTTTTAATATTTTTATAAAGCAGAAAAGAAATATTTCTTTTTCATCACCAATTTCAAAAGAGCAAGGTTAAAGAAACAATTGGTCTCTTTTCTAAATATTTATCTCTCTAATACGATATAAATAAAAAACCTTGTCCATCGATTAAATTTTTGTTTAAAATATAAACAATTATATAACTCTCAAAAAAAGAAAATCAACTCCTCGTCTTTTAGAAATTAAAGATTATTGTTAAATATACATACGCTTCGTTAACTTATATATACATGCCTTTATACTGGCTTCTACAAACGTCAGCATCACTCTTCATTATTCTTTTTTTCATTGTGATATATGTATATAGAAAGTAAGAATCTCTTTTGTTATAATAAGTAATTGATGATAATACAGCTTGAATTAAGAATGATGTAAGATGTAGAATGGAATTAATTTTTTCTTTCTCACCTTTTCTCAATACATTAACAAAAGTGTCAACGACGAACGTACATTACTTAGTAAGCAATCACAGGGGAAATCGGAAGATGACCATCTGCAACAGAATAGAAACATGACCTTTTTTATCTTTTTTTTTCTTCAAAGAAGAAGAAAAAGTATACATCAGGTCAAAAAACGGGAAAAGAAAAATGAATGCTCAGGTCATCTTTTCCTTCCTTTTTTTTTAATTTTTTCTTTTTGCATCGTTAAGTAGCCTTTTCTGTTAAAGATACTACTATAGCATGTATGCTTGTCTTTCTTTTGACATATGTAATAAGTAGTTCACGAACGTATAACATCAAGGTTTTGCTTCACCTGTCAAGTATAAGTGATATGTAAATTGAGAAGATATATATACTGTATTAAATTGGAAGAAGAAGAAGAAGAAGAAAAAAGTCAGTTCATTTTACAATTCTTTATATGCTGAATGAATGTAGGTGAAATATAACAGATAGATTTATATGTAAAAGACTATTTCTCTATAGAAATAATGAGAACAAATATTTATCTTTATTAACCAAATTGAACATTGATCAAGTAGAATTCGAAGCATAAGATTAGATTCATCTTATGACTATTGAAGTATACTCGAAAATAAAAGAGTCAATAATCTCGTCCTATCTATTCATTGTTAAGTATAAATCTCTTGTTTAATAAACTTGATTTGTCTATATAGATATTCATCAGATGTGATACGAAATAATCATACAAGTTCAACATTACGTCAAGAAGCTATTTCAATAACAAAAGTTCGTTGTAAACAACGTAATACTTGGCTACATTCATCAACATCTTTGGAAAATAATTCAACTAATCTTATTAAACCACTTTTATCAAAAAATTTAGGTGAGAAAAAAAAAGAAGTAAAATTTATGTTCATTTTTACGAATGAATGTTAGAAGACATCCATTAGTTCATAAAAGAATACACTTAAATATATATATGTGCCTACTTTCTCTTTCTCTCTCTGTCTCCTATTGCTTAATTCAATTTTGAATTGTATTTAAAAAAATACAAAAGAAAAAAAAGAAGAAGAAAAAATTGAATGTATCGGTTACTATCATTTTAGTTAATGGAACGGAAGCTGACTCTACTTGTCTAAACTCAAATATGAACTCAACAGCATGTGGTAAAACAGCAGCTACAATGTTATTACACAAGAATTCTGTAGAGTACGTGTATAAAATTCTTTCTCTCTTTTTTTTTCTTCTTCGATAAAATTATCAATCGAGAAAATAATAATATAAGTTGCTTATCAGACTGAGTCATGCATTTTACTATATGATTTATGCATAAATTAACTAACCTATTTTTTTTTACTTTTATTATAGCTGCAATAAAATGGAAAAAAAGAATGACGAAACATCTTATGACTTTTTACAAATGAATCATGATCTTCATTCGATCAAAGCGGATGAGTCAATAGTGTCACCATTGTCAAAGACAAATAATACTCATGATAAAGGTATAATAGTATAGAATAAAGAATCTTTTGTGCGTAGTATAGTGGCAGCAACAGCGGTTTCTTTTCTTTCTCCTTTTTTGCAGCGAGTAAAATGCAAAAGACCATGACGACGGCCGTCCTTTTTTACATCGTTAGTCGTCAGTCGTGATCCTGCTCATTCTCCCGTCTTTTTTTTTTCAACAAAAAAAAAAGGCAAAAGAAAAGAATGAATAAAAAAAAGAAAGAATACGAGAAAACAATCGATCTGTAGTAGGTGTTGTTGTTTGCATATCTATATATATATATATGTTTAAGGTAAAAAAAATCCAAGGTATATTTAATTTCGCTTCTTTTATGTTTATATAAATAGGCATACACATAACAAAGTGTAATCTGAATATATTGATCGAAAAGAAAACATGTTGTATGCAAAGAAAAAATATAAGCGGACTTTTTTTTCTTCTTTTCCTTTCATCCTCATTCTTCATGAGTAATCACTATCGATATTTATTTAGTCGAAAAAAACACCTGTCTATTCATATTTTTATCCTTCAATTTAATATGTATATATGTGTGAGTAGCACGAAACAAATTACGGTATTTTAATAATATATATCTAATTAATAGTAACTTGTTGAACGTTTTTGACACGAATAATGTTATTTCAATACGTTCGTAGTTGATGTACAAATAATGATTCTTTTTTTTCTCTTCTCTTCTTCCTACTGAGTTGTATATTGAATTAAGTCTATAGACGGCTTTTTTTTTCTTCTGATATACATCGAGTGTTCTGTACTTGAATATTTCTGATTGTATTTTAGATGCGCTATCAACCAGTAAAAAAACAGACAATTTTTACTTAATACATCACCAATCATCCTTGATTCCTATTAAAGATTTATTGAATCATAATATCAATAAAAATATTGAAATTATTCAAATGGACGAACAAGAATGTATATTAGAAATAGTTGATGGTGTTGTGACACTTGTACCAAAAGATAAATCATCATTATTAGCAACAACAACAGCAACAACCGATAGTGATGAAGATAAATCCGAAGAAAAACAAAAGAATTCAATTGAATACGAAACAAGTAATAATTATGGTAAGAAGAAGCAAAAAAAAAGAATCTGTATTTTATTCTATTTCAAAAAATTTATGTCATAATGCATACATAAGCATATTAAGAAATACAACATCTGTTCGATAAAATAAAAAGAAAGAAAAAAATGTGAACAGATGTTGATTTAAATTAAAATTAAACTATTAAAAGATAAGATTGGATTACATATTACTTGTTTCTTTTGATAGTACCCGTATTGAATTTATGTAGATAATATTTGTACTGAATGCATTGTAATCTATGAAAAATAATTTTTATTATTTAGATTCTCCTAAACATACAGAACGTTCATCGTCAGTAAATTCATCAATTTCTACACCATCTCTATCAGAACATGAACCAGAACAAGATGAAATCTCATCATCATCATCGTCATCATCTCGATCATCGTCAAATAAAGACGAAAACGAAGAAACTCAAGAACCATTTATACTTCTACGTGATACTCCATCTAGATCTCCTCCAATTCATTCTCAAACCGAACAATCCGTTGATTTATTAGATTTATTTTCAACTCCACCTATACCAATATCAAATTCTAGTACAGATAAAAATAATAATAAATCAACGAAAAATTTACTTGATGATTCTCTATCATCGGTTTCATCTTACAAAAACAAAAATCCTGATAATGATTCAAATACTGATTCATCTGATCTAGAAGAAATACGTTCATCATCACCACTAGTACAAGAACAAGACCAAGAGCAAGAACAAGAACAAGAACAAGTTAAATCTTTATCACCATCTATATCAGAAAAAGGTAAAACTATATATTTAAAAATAACTTAAAAGTTTATTTTTCACTCTAAGAAAACAAAATTTTTTATCATGAAAAATTCATTCTTTTTTTTTGTTGATAAACAAAATATTTTTCTAAGTTGACAATCGAATTGAAGGAGACATATGTCTGAAATCTTATTTAACACTTAAAAGGATTCATAAATATTTAACTAAAAACTCGTTAAATCTAATGAAAAATAACCTTCATTTTTTTATTATGAATTATAACTGAACTTAGTTTACTTCACTTAAGAGATTTCATGACAAATATCAGTATTCTTAAAACAAATTACAAATGTCTCTCAAGAGAATATTTTAGTTATGACACTTTTTTTCTAACAATAAAAATCCTTCTATTCACAACTCGTTTCTTCTTTCCGAAGGATATATGTGAACATGTTTAGATAAAAGAAGATTTCTTTTGTTTTAGAAAAGGTTGTTCTATATTGTTACTCTTTTATCCGATGTAACACTCTAATTGTTGTTCAGTGTTTATTTAATCTTTCGGCCTCGCAATGACATTCTTCTTCTTTCTTCTTTTTTTTTTCTTGTCTTAAGTATAAAGAATATAAATGAAGAGGAAGTTAGATCGAAGGTAGTAGTAGTACAATTCTTTTCGGAAGATGAACTAGTCCATCTATTCTTCATTTTCTCTTTTGTTTATTGAACAATTTATCATCGTTGTTGTTATTTTAATCTCTTATGTATGTACGTGAAGAGAACGCAATAAATTGTTCACTATTTTATTCACTGCCCATTACAACGATAGCTGACCTAACTAGTAGACAAATTGGTATGTGTTAACTTAATAGTGCTATTGTCCTATTCATATTTTTATAGAGTATAGACATTTGATTGGATATTATATACATCTCGAGACAATACTTTATATTATTGAAATGTTCATTTTTGTTTAGACGATTTTTCACCTGAATCACCAACACATCAAATTTCTGTTCCATCTGAATCAATTCCAATCGTTGAAAAATCTCCATCAGTCGACGAAACTGACGTTGAATATCAATTACCTAAAAGTGAACCACCACCAGCAGCTAAACCAATCAATAAAGCTCGTATAAACGAATTTGCTTCACTTCTATCCGGATCTGTTCATTTAATTCAACCGCCAGCAATTAAAAAACAAGAAACACCTAAATCATCAATTCCATTTGCAAATCGTCCACCAACATCACCATCACGTTCCGACGAACAAAGTTATTCTTCAATACGTTCAGCAAATAGTGATCGAGACGAACGTGAATCATTTCATACAGTACAATCGAACAATAATTCTGATCAAGAACAAACCAAAAAATCTATTGATGCACGTTATAACGAAAAAATTGATGATCGAAAATCTATACAAATAAATACATCAAATATAAAAGCATTATTTGAACAAAAAATTTCAGATACAAATAAAGCATTATCACAATCAAATGAACATTTATTACATACAATTGAAGCTAAACAACAACAACAACATAAAAAAGCTCCGATTAGTTATGGAAGTTTAAAACGTAATTTATTATCTAATCAACCACAACAACAAACTACTCGAAGACAATCCTATCAAGATATTTCAAATATGAATAAATATACAGATCATATTGCTGGAGTAAAAGATGTAGTTATTGAAGATAAACAGGTATGAAAAATGATTATTCTAAAATAATGACAATCTTGATTATGTCAATATAAGTTTTCTTCCGACAATATATAGTAATATGAACTTTTTTGTCTTCTATTTTTGATGAAAAAAAAGTACTTGAATATTCAGACGTGTGACATCAGGGAATTTTGTTGTTGTTTTGATCAAATGATATTAATGTTTATCGAACATAGTCGTAGAATAATCGGATCTTTTTCGTATTTGACATTAAGCAATTATTAAAGTTAGAGATCTTGTAAGACAATACATGAAGAAAGAAAAGGTTAGTATTTAGTTATAGAAAGAATAGATTTAACAGTTCATGAAATTCTAAAACATTCTATTAATCGATTTATTTCAATACTGAACTTCATCATTTCTCTTCAAACTCAAATGAATATATAAGTACACTTTTGATATTATAATTGTATGTTTACATAATTACTAGAAGAATTTCTTTGTTTGAATCTTTATTATCTCTAATATATTGTATGATTATTTCAGCCTGAACATGAACATCAACCTCAAATTTATGGTAGTAATACACGTCGTCATAATACTGAAGAAATAATTCGTCCAGGAACTGCTCCTTCAAGAACATCATCTGAATCAATATCAAATGGTCATAATTCTGAATCTTTAATAGCTCGTGAAATTCGTGAAGCACAAGAAAAAGAAGAAGAATTAAGACGACAACGTCGTAAATGTGGTCTACCAGAAGATGCAACTGCTTTATTAACAAACGCAAATAATGATTCATTAAAAACAGATAGTCCATCATCAGCAAAAGCACCCGTTAAAAGTAGTTCATTTTTATCAAATTTAGATTTTTTTACATCAAAAGAAAATACTTCAACTTCAACGAATGGTTCACCATCATCACGTCGTTCAACAACATCAATAACAAATATTGTTTATGATTCTCATGTAACACCAATCAATGATGAACGACAACAAATAAATAATGTTGTTTCACAAGAATTACATCGTTTAAATGATAATGGTGTACCAATTATTCGTACAGGCTCAACAAATAATTTTATTCATCGTTCATCATCAAATCAAAATATTCTTGCAGCACAAAATACAAATAATATAATTCAACGTGAAATTGAAGCTATACGTGCTAAAGAAGCTGAATTACGGCAATTAGGTCGAATACAACATACAAGTGATGAACATTCCGATCCAAGAAAATATCAAGAATTTGTACCAATAATATCAAAAAGTCAATCAAGTAATACTCTTGCAACAGGAAAAGTTAGACGAGATACAGAACGAATTCATCGACCTGTAATTGCAACATCAAATGGATTTCTAACACCAAAATTAACACATAATAATAATTCATGTAAAAGAAAAAGTTTTTTTTTAATATTTATGTTTTAAATGATCTTCTTCATTTTTTAGCAATTTCATCCATACGTGGTAAATTTCCAAGTCCAAATCCAACAGCACCCATTATTAGTTCATCAAATAAATCAGCGGATTATTCAAAATTATCATCAACAGATAGACTTGAATTAGAAAAACGTGAATTTCAAGAAAGAGAACAAGAATTAAAGTAAAATCCTTGAAAAAAGTTTTTTTTTTCATTCATAATAGTAAACATTATTATTTAGAAAGCAACGTCATTCAGCTATAGGTGTTACATCATCAGTAAATGGTGATTCAGGCAATGCATCACAAGATGAACATGAAGAAGATCAAGAACGTTATTTTGATAAAATTGAACGATTAAAACGAAAAGAAAATGAAGTAAATTGTTTTTTTTGCTGTTGTCTATTTATTTCATTGAATTTTCTATTCTTTATCAGAGAGCACAAGCACCATTAATACGTCCAACAAAAAAATTAGATATGTCACAACGCTGGGAACAAATGTTAACAAATAAAAATGTTCAAAATACAACTGGTGATGATAATGATGAAGATTGAACTAAATTATTTCAAAATGCTTTTTTTTCATCTTACATATATTATATATATATTGAATATACGGGTGCTCTTGCTGAAGACAAACGCTCTTATAGTCATTCCATTGATTGCTTTGTTTTTGTTTTTCTCTTCTTCTTTTAGTTTGAAAATTTTAAACCAGTTTTTTTTCTTTCTTTCTTCTTTTACTGTATATTTATATTCGCTATTAACTTGTAATCAACATCATCGCATATATACAGCAAAACAAAAAATATAATAAGTTCTGAATTATTTGTTGTTGTATGGCATCAAATTTGTTTTTTTCTTTATTATTCGACAATATATTTATTTTTCGTTTTCATAAGGCTTGGTTAAAACATGTTGAGAAAAATTAAGTAGTTTATACTTATAGATGAACTGTTATTCAATCGGATTAGATTTTCGATATTTTTCGTGTCCTGTAAAAAAAGTCGATAAAAATCAGTTATGAAAGGAAGGTGTGATAATAACTACTATCATAATCTAGACTCTGTAATACATGCAAGTGAAAAGAGTTACATAAGCAGTATTTATCAACTGAACTAATGTTTTACTGACAGATAAATAAAATAGTATGATCAGTTAACTATTGTGTAAATGTGAATCACGCATGTGATTTGTGTTATATAATTCTTTTTATTCATTTTCAATCAAACAAAATATGAGCATAAGACATAGAAACACATTACGCATATGAGAATATTTTCTAGCACAGTAGTAATTAAATATAATATTGATAAAAATCATATTCTTATTTCATTTTTACCACAAGAGAAAAGTATAATCCATATTCTCTAAGGGTATCTACCATATTAATATTTTATATATTAATTCCTATTCTTCGTAGTTACATTATCAATCATAAGATCAGATTTTTTTCATACTATAGAAAACGAGATTAATTTAGTATTTGAACTAATATTCTTTCACTTTTGTCCGATTGATGATGATGAAAGAAAAGAACTAAAAAACAAATTTTAAATACAAGATCAATATATAATTACAACATCATCATTGTTTGTCGAGCGCATAGAAGTGTTATTTGTTAAAATCATCTATAGCAAACAAATTTATTAGTGTTGTTCACTATCTTTATTCATATACTTTTAATTGAACAAAAAAGAAAGAAAGAAAATGATATGTTCTATTTTTGTCTTCATACCAATATTTTTTGAGTGATCATCAGACGATGTTTATTTCAACCAGTTTTCTCATTTTCCTATGTTCTATTACAATAATAAAAACTGATCGAACTATTCGCCGTTTACCTTATAAACTTGATAGTGATATAACTGCATTTGTAGGTGATAATATAATTAATTATGAATTAACACGTATTGATACAAGTGGTCCCATGTCAACTCTCGAGATTGAAACTGAACAGTGGGTACATGATTGTTGTTTTATAGTTACATCTCAACCTGTTCTTCGTATTCGTCTTAAAGCAGAAAATAATTATCCAAAAATAACTGCTTATTTACGTCTTCGTACATCATTATCATCAATTGTTATGACTGGTACAGGAATGATAACAACGACAAATTCAATTCAATCAGATTCATTAGTATTTGAATTATCAGGTACTAGTAAAGCACAACTACAAGTAGAAATTACTACTAAACTCGATGTTATTCTTGCTGGTACGGGTCAAATAACTATGACGGGAAATGTTCGAGGTGCAGGTTATATTCGTCTTACTGGAGCAGGAGAATTCGATGGCCGTGCATGTCCTATGAATACTGTTATTGTTGATGTTACTGGTGTTGGTACAGCGTATGTTATTGGTGAACAAGCTGTTGATGTTGCTGTTGGAGGAGTAGGTCATGTGTATTATCATGGACCATTAAGAAATCAACGAGTTAATGGACTTGGATCGATTGATTCATTATTAAGCAGTAATGGTAAATTATTAAAATCATCTGCAATAACAATGAAAATATCTATTAACTATTATATAATTTGTTTTTTCTTTTATGTATTCAAATTTTTCTTGTAAATAGTTTTTCATAGGAATATGTAGTATTATAATATTATCCAGAATTTAACAATTAAATTGTATTAACCCTTGGTGGTGGTCGTGAGGTCCACGCGGATTCATTTCACAGATTTTCGTTCAAAATTGCATCAAGGGCTTCTATGTTTGACCTATCTCTTTATCTCATCTTTCTTTCAAACCACAGATAAGTCTAATGAATAAAAAATGGCGCTATGAGTCCGCATGGACTCCAGGACAACTTTACTCTTGTCAAAATATTACTTTCCCTGCGAAAGGTTGATGACGGATGAGTGGGTGTCATTGTCTCTTCGTTGTTGCATCATGCCACACCCACACCCATCCCATTGATGATGAAAGAAACGAATTGAAAAACAAATTTTTAAATACAAGATCAATATATAATTACAACATCATTATTTTTTTGTCGAGTATATAGAAGTGTTATTTATTAAAATCTTCTATAGTAAACAAATTTATTAGTGGTATTCACTATCTGTATTCATATACTTTTAATTGAACAAAAAAAGAAAGTATTAGCTTGTTTCGACGAACATATACGTCTGTCAATTTCAAATAGGAAAATCACTTCTTTACTACTACGCACACACACATATATCTGTTACTTTACAAAGGCAAACAAAGACAAACAAAAAGAAAAAGAAAAGATAGATAGATAGATTGAATCCAGGGAAGAATGACAAAGTGATTCTTCCCTAATAGAAAGAAAGAACGAAAGTGATATATTCTAATTTTTGTTTTCATGCTTCATATCAATATTCTTTCAGTGACCATCAGACGATGTTTATTTCAAGTACTTTTCTTATTTTCCTATGTTCTATTACAATAATAAAAACTGATCGAACTATTCGTCGTTTACCTTATAAACTTGATGGTGATATAACTGCACTCGTCGGTGATAGTATAATTAGTTATGAATTAACACGTATTGATACAAGTGGTCCAATGTCAACTCTCGAGATTGAAACTGAACAATGGGTACACGACTGTTGTTTGATAATTACATCTCAGTCTGAACTTCGTATTCGTCTTAAAGCAGAAAATAATTATCCAAAAATAACTGCTTATTTACGTCTTCGTACATCATTATCATCGATTGTTATGAGCGGTACAGCAATGATAACAACGACAAATTCAATTCAATCAGATTCATTATTATTGAAAGTATCAGGTGCTAGTAAAGCACAACTACAAGTGGAAATTACTTCTAAACTTAACGTTATTCTTTCCGGTGCGGCTCAAATAACTATGACGGGAAATGTTCGAGGTGCAGGTTGTATTCTTCTTTCTGGAGCAGGAAAATTCGATGGTCGTGCATGTCCTATGAATACTGTTATTGTTGATGTTAGTGGTGCTGGCACAGCGTATGTTATCGGTGAACAAGCTGTCGATGTTGCTGTTAGAGGAGCAGGTCATGTATATTATCAGGGACCATTAAGAAGTCAACGAGTTAGTGGAGCTGGGTCGATTAATGGACATGGATCAATTGATGGACTTGGATCGATTAATTCATTATTTAGCAGTATTGGTGAAATATTCAATTCATCTACCACAACAATGAAAATATCTATTAACTTTTATATAATTTGTTTTTTCTTTTATGTATTTAAGTTTTTCTTCTAAATAGTTTCTTATAGAAATATTTCGTGTTAAATATTATGAAATATGTTACAATTAAATTGTATTGATAAATGAAAAATAAATAATGGTTGTCTTGATTCTTGAAAATTATTTGACATAAAAAACAGTGTTTTGATATATAGAGATTCGATTCTGCTATCATGCTTGAAATAGAATAACTCAATCATTATTATTACTATGTATATTATGTCAGACTCATAATGAATTTCATAATTATTCTATTCACTACTTTTCGTATGTATCATTTATTCAATTTGAAAGAAGTGAAATTAAAAAATATTATTTCCTTAGTCATTTTTATTTCATTCAAAATCGACGAAAACTGAATGGTATTTTTTTTATTTACAAAATATTCAAAAGAAAATATTTAATCTTTTTTAGATCTTATTAATCTACTAGATTTCTTCCGAGATCGACAATCATAATTTAATTCGGTATTATCATCATTACTATCGATGTTAACCATTGATAATGTAATATCATTCAATCGCTGAAAACCTATGATATAGAATAACATACATATGACATTGATATATATTTTTACTTAAAACTTACGTGTTGAAAAACGATTTCTGTAGTGATTAGATGGATCAATAATAGGTAGTGGAGATGGTTCTCGAATTGATATATTATTTTCTAAACAAATATCATAATTAAAGAAAATGTATTCTTCTAAAAATAATTAAACATACTCTTAGTTTTATTATTCCTTCGTTGTCTAAGTGTCGGACGTTCAGGTTTAATAATTGAAACGGATTTTCGTTTACGTAAAGTAATAGTATTTTCTGATTTTGATTGTTTTCGTTTTCGAGTTTTTCTTTTACGAATTGATTCTGATTTCGTTTTTTTCCTCGAACGTGTTTGACGTTTAGATAGTGGTTCTGGAATGTCGAAAGAATCTCTATTAAGAAATATTTATATTTGTATAAGACAAAAAAAGAATAGGAATAGAATTTTACTGATGTTGAAAATGAGTATCATTAATACCATATTTAAGAAGATCTGTATGAGTAAGTCGATCGAGCATTATTTTTGGTTCCATAAATTCTAAACATTCTTGATCTGTTTGATTTTGATCAAATGATGAAGTTATATCTCTAATTGATGGAGATTCTTCTCCTTCTTCCTGAAGAATGGTTGCAGAAAAATTAATTGGAATTGGAAGATTTGGTTCTGTATATATTGGTAGTACTTGAGTTTGTTTGAAAGATAATTCTGAAGAATATATATTTGGAGATTCTTCATGATTAACAATATATGTTTCATTAACACAAGGAAGAATTTGATTCGATTTTCTCTGAAGTAAAACAATACTAATGCGTTCATTTTTAATCGACGAATTTTTATTCTAAAATAATAAAATTCTATCCAGATAATTTTTATAAACAAAAAGAAGAAGTTATTTACAGATAGCTTTAAATGATTCTTGTTCTTGTTAGTTGCTCGAAAATTATTCGATGTAATAGTAGAATGCATCACTTTCCAATATTCATTTTCTTCATGTAAGACTTTTTTAATAGCATTACAATGTTTTTTAAGAATATGACGAATATTTTCTATACGCTAAAAACACATCTTATTAGTTATGGAAATATTTTAAAAATATATAAATATTTACTTTATTTAAATGATTTGGTAATGATTGTACAGCTAATTCAGTTAGATTATCAAATATATGAAGTTTATTTCTATGTTCAAATAAATTTTGATCAATTTCAATTATAGTTTTTTTAATAATGTTATTTTGTAAACAAACATCTTTGAGTTGTTTTGCAAATTGTACTAAAAGAAAATATTAATGTAATAGAGATAAATTATTTCAATGATAAAATACCATTAATACTAGTTTCGATTAATTTTCGAGCTTGTCGATATTTAGTACGAGTAGCTTCAAAACGAGTTCGATTCCAAGTTGAAGGTGTATCAAGTACTATTCGATTAATAATGAAAACCATTCATAAGAGATAGAATATTTTGAATAATTATTGACAAGAATTATCTAAGAACAAAGAATTTTCGTTTCGTTCAGATTCCCGTCAATCATTCTAATGACAACCAATTATTATTCAGCACGTGACAGATGTCAGATATTGCTTTTCAAATACGAAAAAAAAAATTAATATAGTTTTTTTAAACTTTCAGTGAAATAGAAAATTACATTTGAAGTAGAAAAAGTTAACAACTTATTATGCGTGATTACATTGTATTAATAAAACGACAAAAATCTAAACTAATTTCCATTTCATAAGTATAGAGACAAGAAATTTTTGATTGATTCTATTGAAATTATAGAGCTATAGATCAACGTTCTTTTTTTTGAAAAGAATTAATACGTAACAATGATTTCCATTACTTTCGTATGTATTTTATAATATTGAAAAGAAGAATTGATATCTTAATGGCACCAGTATAGCTAATATTTCTCTCATCGTTTTTCTATGGGGTATCGTATGCTTATTACAATCGATTTTGAGATATCTATTCGTTTTCGAAACTAATTTATTTCCTATTTACTCTTTATTTGTAATAGAAAAATATTCAGAAGTGAAGTACTATATCAATAGGTGCTATTGGTGGATTGATATCTGGATAAATCTATGATGAAAAACAGAAAATAAACTATTTAATGGGACATTCGATTGCATTAATTTGTACTGTTATACAAAGGATCATGACAGTAAGTATTCGTGTATTATTCATGTTTATTAATCGTCATTGATTACAAATGAATGATGAAGAAATCATCATCCTAAATTTTAATATACATTATAATCTTGAAAATAGTTTTCGATAATATTTTAATTTGGTCTACTAATAATTTCTAGTAAATTTTATATTCAAAGTTATTAACAATACATATAGTCATTGATGGCACTTTTACTTGAGACATATTCAAGTTTATACAAACATGTAAGATCAAAGTTTTGAATTGTACTCATAAAATTCTTTACTTTTATTCTCTTTCAAACTATTGTGATATAGACTATTGATTTAGTTCTATTTCAAAAGCTATCATCAAGTGCATAGAAGGGTACACAGCTTGAATGACGATCATAGAGGGCACAATATAGTATATATATATATATACATTCATATTGTTTTTCTTTCTTCCATATGTGACAATCACAAAAGTAAAAATACACAGTAGAACACATACTATGAAAATGTCTTCGTCTGTTACACCCATTGATGATAAGAATGATTATAATCATAAAGAAAATCGTATATTGATACGTAAACTTGATTTGCATATACTCCCATTACTTTCGTACGTATTTTTGAATAAATCAATAATAAAATAATAATTTTCTTTTTATTCAAAGTATTACTTATTTGCTATCATATATTGATCGCGCAAATATTGCTAATGCAAAATTAGCAGGCCTTGAACATGATGCTCATCTTACATCTGAACAATACCGATGGTAAATAATATCTATATATATATATTATTTAATATTCAGCAATTTATCATAGGTCTTTGTCGATCTTTTTTATTGGCTATGCCATTTTCGAAGTTCCATCGAATATTATTCTTCGACGATGGAGCCCATCAAAATGGATTGCTCTTATTGTTTTCTGTTGGGGTAATTTTTATATAACAGTGATACTAATCTAAAATTTTTTTTGTAGGCATAGTAGCAGTGAGTATGGCAGCCGTACGTACTGCAAGTACACTTCTTCTATGTCGATTTTTACTTGGTACATTTGAAGCTGGGCTTTTTCCTGGTCTTATTTATTATACATCATTATGGTATAAAAGAAAAGAACAAGCTCTTCGACTTGGATGTTTTTGGTCATTTTCAGCAATTGCAGGAGCTTTTAGTGGTTTACTTGCTTATGGTATTCTTCAAATTAAATCACCAATCCTTGCTCAATGGCAACTCCTTTTTATTGTAATAAGATAAAACATCATTCTTTATTCTTGTTTTTCAAGTTCTAAATTTGTATTAGATTGAAGGTATTCCAACAATAATTCTTGCATTTATTTGTTGGTTTTGTTTACCTGATTCACCAGAACAAGCACGATTCTTAACTGATAAACAACGTCAACTACAAATCGATCGCCTTGCAGAAGATGCAGGTGCATCGAATAACCACTCATTTTCTTGGTTACAAGTTCTTTCTGTATTTACTGACTGGAAAACATATGCATATGCCATTATTTATATTTTTGGAACTATTACTTTACAAGGTGTAACTCTATATTTACCTTCACTTATTCATGCAATGGGCAGTTCGACACCTGTACAAACACAATTGTTAACTGTTCCACCTTATATTGCTGCATTTGTTAGTATATTAATTATATCTCGTAGTTCCGATTAGTAAGTATTATATTTAATAATAATATATTGTATAAAAATATAATTTCGTATAGTTTTCTTGAACGGACATTCCATCTTGTTTTTACGAATCTCATAACAATATGTGGTCTTCTTATATTAATGTTCGTTAATCAACAACATGTCTATATTCTATACATGGGTATTATCTTTATTACATGCGGTACTTATGCAAATGTTAGTGTAAAAATAGCTTGGTTCAATAATAATTTGTAGGTGATATTGTCTTTTCATATTAACTATATTCATAAGTCATATTCTTTAGTGCTTCATTAACACGACGTGCAGTTGCATCGGCACTAATTGTGTCTGTTGGATCACTTGGTGGAATAATATCAGGACAGATCTATACTGACAATCAGAAACCAAAATATTATCTTGGTAATACAATTGCATTAAGTTTTGTTACTTTACAAACAATATTAGCATTGATTCTTCGTTTGACATTTATTTTTATTAATCGTCGACGATCACGAATGAATCAGGAAGAGATTGATCAAGAAATTCAACGATATGGTGGAAACGAACTAGCTGGCGATCGCCATCCTGAATTTCGATATACATTATAAGAAAATATATTAATTGAAAAATTTTGATTATATAATAATCGAATACGTTTTACTAAGGACATCTAGATGAAAAAGTGTGAATTAGTTGTTGATCATAGCCAATGCATTCTTATTTAAACGAATCATCTAATTCTTTCTTTTTTTTACAAAAAAACAAATTTCAACAATTTCGTTTTTATTCGTAAATTTATTCTATTTTTTATGCATCATGCTGTTGTTACGTATAGATCTTCTTCAATATATAATTTGCTTTTTTTTCTTGAAGTTCACATGATTTATTGATGGACAAAAAAAAAGATGCGAAATATTTGAATTAAAAGATAGAAGATTGTTTTCATATATCAACAATCTTGAAATATTCTATATTTTATTAACAACAGAAATAATGTTTGCTTCTAATTTGTATATTACCATTAAATAGTTTCGTCAATACTCTCCTCATTTCAGTGTATATTTACGCATAATCTAATTTGGTGTAATGAAATAAATGACGCGGTATTGGCGCTTTTTAGTTGTATATAAATACCGAATGACTAGTTAATTAAACGTAGCATTTCATCATATAAATGTCATGAATTGTGACACTCACATGATTTCATAAATGTCGAAATTTTCAAGATTGCTTACAATTAAAAAGTATTATGATTCTTGTAAGGTGCAAAAGAAAATTATTGCTACAAATCTCTTCTTTTCTTGTTATATAAATTATGATTTAAAAAAAGTATATTCGATTCTATTCAGATAATGAATGATCTCAAACAATCGATTGCATTTAATTCAGACATGAATAATAATAATTTAATTGATTCAAAGGAACATGAATTAATGATAATAAATGATAATGAAAAAATGTTTACTATTGGTCAGATTAAAGAGCTTCATATGCTTAATTTTATGTGTCATAAAAATTTTTCCATACAGTTTTATCCTACTCAAATGCAAATTATAACTGGTGCAAATGGTTCAGGTAAATAAAATGAAGAATTTTCTCGCAATAATTTAATTATTTTTCAAGGAAAATCAACTATAGCAAATGCAATTTGCCTTTGTTTGGGTGCACAAGCAAGAACTACTGGACGGACATCAAATATTCAATCCTTTATAAGAAAAGGAGAAACGTAAATAAACCATCGTTTTATCTGATAGTGAAAATACTTGTTTATAATTATAATGTTTTAAATTCAGATCAGCTCAATTAACAATTACATTAGCAAATGAGGGACAAGAAGCATATAAACCAGAAATTTATGGTAATCAAATTCAAATCATTCGAAAAATTGGTTCTCGACAGTCTAGTTACGTAATTTTAGGTAATATTCAAATCATTTTTTGTGTTGCTTCTAAATTCTCCGAATATTTAGGTGCTAACCATAGAATAATAAGCAAACGTAAAGAAACAATAGATGAAATACTACAAGCTCTATCTATATCTCCTGAAAATCCACTGTGTATATTACATCAAGATATAGCAAAAACATTTTTGATAAATAGTGATTCAAATAAAAAATATCAAGTAAATTTTTAATCGAGATTATTTTATATTAAAAATTTTTTTGTGTCCATAGTTTTATATGAAAGTATCACAATTAGATCAGATGAAACAAGCTTATGAGCAAAGTATTTGCACTGTTCAATTATTAACTCAACGAGTTAATACTATGAAAGAGGTAGAATCGAAAATTTTATTTTTTTTTTATTAAATTACTTTCTATCGATTCAATAGAAACATATTGATATGCTTAGAGAATTAGAACCATTAGAACAAGAGGTTAAACAAATTGAACTTAGACGTGATTATGAGGGTGAAAGACGTGTATTAGAAAAGGAATTAACTTTAGCTCGTGCTGATCAAATACAAGAGGTTTGTGATTTAGAAAATTAAACACAATAAAAATCATATTTTAAATTTAGAAAATAAATGAATTGCAAAATGAGTTAGATGAAATAGAAACAGATAAATATGAAATTGACAAACAAATCACTGAATATAATGTAAGAAAGAAAAGTATATTTTAACAAAATCATATCTTGATTTATTTAGATAGAATTTATTAACATGGAACAACAATTAAATGATTATTTTATAGAAAAGAATGATTTAGAAAAAGATACAAATAGTTTAAGAGAATTAATAATGCATTTTTCCAAACAAAAAAATGATATTCAACACAAAATTCGTTCTTATATACAAGATTGTGACGTTTATAAAAATATTTTAACGGAAGTTGAACTCAAACAAATATATTTACAACAACAAATTGTAAGTCTATTTATTGAAAATACCATAAGAAACAATAAAATATAATAACTAAACGATTAACTAATGCGTTTATAAAATTAAGTATAGGCCTTCTCGAGAAATATGAATTGTTTGTAGTCTCGTGCGCAATATTTGTAGATCCGGTCAAAAAGCTTTTAAAAATTATGAATTCTTTTCTTTGATCATATTATTTGAATTAATGAGCACAAAAAGTATAAGTTTACATTGAATTCAAGGATAAAATAAGAAAGTTTAAGATCGAAATCCTTGCTATTTCTAAAAATACACATCGTACATTAAACATTTTTACTAGGATAAATATGAAAATTTAAATCGACAATTAGATAATAGTGATCAACAACGTCTAAAAATTGATCATGAAATAGCAACTCGACGAGAAAATCAAATTGAATGGGAGAAAATAATAAATTCATTAACGAATGACATACATTCAAATGATAATGATATTCGTAATAAACAATCGGAAATTGATTATCTAGAAAATGAAGTAAAACAAAAAAAACAAGAATTGGATGAATTAATTATAATTGATCAAAATCAAACAGATATCTATGGTTTATGGATGTCAAGTTGTCTAAGCGATATTCAAAATGAACAAAGATTTCATAAGAAACCTATTGGTCCAATAGGTAAATTTCTCTATTCATTCTCCGAAAGTCTCTTTTTGTTCTTGCTTAGGTCGTTATATTCACTGCACTGATCCACATTGGGCATATGCTGTAGAAAAACATCTTGCACCTATTATGCCTGCATTTATTTGTACAGATAATCATGATGAACAAATTCTACTTGAAATCTTAGCATCATATTCATCTGATGATTATTATCCACCAGTATATGTTCGAGCATATTCAGATAATACTCCAGATATATCTGGAACATTAAAACATATAAAACAAGCTAATGTTATATCGATTTATGATATTTTAAAAATTGATAATATAACTGTTGAATGTGCATTGATTGATTTTAAACAAATTGAAGCAACTATTTTACTTGAAAATTTAGATGAAGTTAAACAAATTCGAGAAAGTGAAAGATTAAACTGGAAAAAAATTGATAGAAAAGTTAAACAAGTTGTTGAAGCTTGGACATATGATGGATCAAATATTAAATTCGATAAAACATTTCGAATTTATACAAATCATAAACAAGCAGTTAAATATTTTTCAACAGATAATAATCAGTCATTATCAATTAAAGAATTACAAATTAACATAAAACAATTAAATGAACAAATTAAACGTATGAATGAATCAATAAATATATTAAAAACCATTCGACAAACAAATATAGACGAAATGGAACAAACAACAAGAGCTAATACAAATAATAAGAATAAAATTAGAGAACTAATGAAGGTATATTATAGTTTTTCATTTTTATTTTAGATGATATTGAAAAAAACTAATCGAGAAATTCGTATTATTTCCTAAGTCGATATTCATTCTCGAAAGTTGCTTTTACTCATTAAAATTTCAGAAAAGTTGTCACAGGTATTCATATAGCTTTGTTTTCTATTGATCGGATATCCTAATAGTTTCGAAAGATAGAATAGCGGAATTTAATGGAACACCCTTCAGTTTTATAATTATTTTTGAAGATCGGTATGGAGGTTATTGATTCTCTCATGCGAATAACTATAAGTGATATATTTGTATTTAAATTTAAGGCGAGATTAGCACAGTACTTTTCATATTTGTTTACTAGACAAAAAATTCGAAAATATTAGAAACATATGTGATTAATGATTTTTAAGGAACTCGATCGTCTTAATTCTACAATGCCGATGGTTATTGATTGTTCACTTGATGAATTACAAGAAAAAGCTCGAAATTATGTTGCTACATATAAGGATACACTTCGTAAATACGATGAAGCAAGAGAAAAGAAAGACAACAATCTTGAACAACTTGCTATTATTGTAGAAAATCATGACAATCTAACAAAAAAACTCGATGGAAAAACTCATCAATATGAACTTCTAATCGAAAAACTTGATACAAAAAAATCTAAATACACTGAATTTCAAGAAAAAATTAAAAAATTAAAGAAACAATCTCTTCGATTTAATAAACAGATTCTTAAATATGAAACTAAATTAAAACAATTAAATAAAAAACATCGAAAAGTAAATAAATATTTCAGTTTCTTTTTTCTTCATTTAATCTTTTATTATTTATTTAGAAATTTAAAAATAGAAGTGCAATTATTCGATCTATTAAAGATATTCAACAAAAACTTGATGCAATTACTAATTATCTGAAAGCAAATGAAGACACGTTTGTTTTTGTTAAATTTTATTTTAATTTATTAATAATATATTTTGTTAGGAATGAAAAACGTAGAGAAATAATTAATGAATATCGAATAAAACGTGATGCTGCAAGAGAATATAAACAAACTTATGAACGATGTTATCAACAAGTTGAAGTAAAACAAAAATATAAAATTAATATAGAAATATTTTCGTTTTTTTTATTTTATTAAAGCATCTTAAACAATTTATTAATAAACGTCAAGAAAGTTTTCATACAATAGCTGATCGACATCAATATTATCTTCGTACGAAATTTCAAAAATTAATGGAAAAATATAATTTTGATGATACAAATATTAATATCGATCATAAAAAAGAAGAACTTGAAATAATTGTAAAGATTTTTTTTCGAAGGGAATTATAAAAAAAAACAATATTTTCTTATTTTAGGTTAATATACATCAGAGAAATTTAAAATCATTATCTGGTGGTGAACGATCAATATCAACATTTTGTTTTCTACTAGCACTTTGGCAATCTATTTATCAACCATTTCGTATACTTGATGAAATTGATATTTATATGGTAAATATCTTTTGCATTTGTATCTTCTTAAGGGCCCCCCCGGGGTCAAAAAAAAAATTTTTTCTTTAAAAACGACGATTTTAAGATTCACCCATATTTAGGTAGCCCATCATCTACACTTTCGAACAGACTATAGTTTATCGGTTTTGCGGTGGTTTTTGAGGGTTTTATAGCGAGTTTTCTGAAAAACCTGCTCGAAAATGTTTTTTTTCGAAAACCACAATTATTGAAACTATTTGACTTTTTCTCTATACCAAGTTTTTTCGAAGAAAAAATTCGATAATCAAAGTAAAAACTTGTTTTGCGTTTTTCTCGAAAGTGTTTTTTTATGGTTTGTCTGTCCGTATTTCCAAGATTTCTCCACCATTTTGAATGCTAGAGAGCTCGGGAAGGTTTCAAAATGAAGCTAAAGCTCAGTGCTAGAGCCTAACAAAGCCAGAGTTTTTGTTTTCATCTTAGTTCATTATGAAAAAATCGAGTTTTCTAAAGAGATAACCTTAAGTTTTTCCAAAAACCTTTTTCAAGAAACAATTTCTTTTTTTTCAAAAAACCGGCTTTGTTAGGGTGTAGAGACAAGTGTTCTGCACATTTTGACGCTATCGCGAGATCGATATCATTAAAATTGCGAACAAAATCTTGGAACTACGAAGACTTGTTTTTGACCCTTAATATTAGGATAACTCTCACAAAACTCTATATTATGAGCTCAATTTTTTACTGAAGACTATCCAAGGTCAGATACATACTGAGTAAAAACTTCATTAAGATTGAGTGCTCTGGAAAAAAAAATGTTTTTGACCCGGGGGGGCCCTTAAGTAATATCTTTTTTTAGGATAATGAAAAACAACATTCATCATTTGATATTCTTTATGAAAATACTTTACAATATTCATCATCACAACATATCATATTGACACCACAATCTATAGATTCACAGTTATGGAATGATTTAAATGTACCGGTTTTTACTATGCAAATACCAAAACGTTCATTATGATTATAGTATTTATATATATATTTTTTTATTTTAATTTTGTAGGAATTTTTGTTTTGAAAATAAATATGATTTTATATAAAAAAATGAAACAATTTTTATTAGATATGAATTTCATTTAGTAAAATAAGATGAAATTAACTGATAATTTCAACATTGAATCTAGCAAATAAATTACTTTAATTTCTCTCTTTCATCGTTTGTTTGTTTGCATTACAGATTATATTCGTATGAAACTCATTATTAAACGAACATGATTTCAAAAAAATTCGTCACAGTAGTTTGTGTATGCATCTATGTTTGACCATTTTACAAAAGAAGATCCCGAAGTGATGAACCGAGTTAAAGGCTGATATTGTGTAGGTTTGCTACACTAAGTACTCGATGTTAACTATGAAACAAATAACTCTCTTCGAAAAAAGATAGTTGTGTGAAAGTCTTATAACTTATAGATGAAGATATTTAAAGACCTTACTATAATATCTTGTGTGATTGATATGCGACACCGTTTGTTTCTCTTCTCACTAGTTATACATCTAGCAATATCCTTCATTGCTCATCACTCTTCCTTTCTTACTCTTGCAGAGAAATATATCCCTAATTAGTTGACATGTATCACACCTTCTTATGTTTATATTCTGTCAATCATAAGTCACTTTGTCCTTCTGTCTTCTTGCTCGCTATAATTGATTGTATTGGAAAAGATATAAAAGGAGATGGATATATGGAATAAAGGGACAGTTATACAAGCTTAGATCACAAAGTTGTTACACTAGGATCCCCATCAGACGAAAGAAATCGTAGAAACTGGAGTCTAACTATCTTCATTTAAAAGCTATAGGACTTTCACATAATTGTCTTTTTCGAAGAGTCCAATAATAGTTGTATATATGCATATAGTAGTGAAAACTATCTGAGTACGAATTATTGCTGGATCGGTCTCAGCACGTAATTATTTCATAGTTGACCTAAGGGTATCTGGTGTAGCAAACTCCGCAAAATATCAGCTTTTAACTCGGATCACCACTTCGGGACCTTCCCTTATCAGCCTGTCTTCATATCCAACTCATCATGTAAACTAAATAATTCATATTAATAAATAAAATAACTTTTCGCTTCATTATATATAATGATTGATCTGTACTATAGATATATAGTGTCTGAGCTTTGATATCATCCGAAACAAAATAACTATAGACGAGCTATTAACAATAATTCATTAAGAATCCGTTTGTTAAGAAACAGGTACGATATGTAAAACTTTTTTCAATAACCAATTTTCTTATTGATATCTATTTATCTATACCTTGAGACAATGTTGAGATTACTAGGGAAAGTATAATAAATTAATAACTCTAATGTTGTTGAATATCTATGTGTATAAATTATCGATTTATAATAAAACTACTTGCACTAAATCATAACGAAACTCTCGTCGAGCAACCGTCATTTTTCCATTTATTTTTTACAACTATTCAAATATCTTCATAAGTATTTGAAATAATTAAAAGATTGTGTCATAAATATTTTTATAGAGAATTCTCAATATCATTTTCTAATATAAAAAATGTTTTATTTATGTTAAGTGTACAATCGATGGAAGATTCTACTTGAACAAATCGTATAACTACATGATGACATCTGTTTTTATCGCCTTATACAGCAATTACTATTGGATATAATTCAAACGAATCTGAATCTTTCTCATATCTATCTATCTATCTATCTATCTTCTATTCATAGTCACAAACTATTTTTCACTTTTTTCTTTTACAAAATCTAAAAAATCAAACATAAAAAATTTATTTCAATGTCAACATTAACTTCATTATTGTTTCGTCATGCTAATAAATTTCATTCCATTCGTCAATTCCATGTAACATCACGTGCATTCCAAGAACGTTATTACACAAAAAAACATGAATGGGTACAAATACTTGATAATAAAAAAGAAGTTCGTATTGGTATTAGTGAATTTGCTCAAAGTGCTTTAGGTGATGTTGTCTATTGTGAATTACCTTCAATTGGTGCAAAATTTAAACGTGATGATGCATTTGCAACATTAGAATCGGTTAAAGCTGTTGCTGAATGTTTTATGCCAATTGATGGTGAAATTTCAAGCACGAATGAGAAATTAAAAACTCAAGCTGATTTAATTAATAAAAGTCCATATGAGAATGGTTGGCTTGTTCAAGCAAAAATCGATGAAAATAATCGAAATGATATTGGCAAAGTTTTAATGAATGAAAAAAAATATCAAGAATTTTTAGAGAAAAATAAAGAATCTGGTGATCATTAAAAGAGTTTATTTTATTTTATTGCAATAATGATTTTTAGTAATTGATTAATTTATTTGTGATTATTTTTTGGTGTCTTTTTTTTCGGTTAACCATATTTAGATAGAATAAAAAAATAATTGATTTTGATTATTTGATTTTAGATATATGTTACTATGATAGATAATCTCTCTGGAGACGATGGTGGAGGAGGAGGAGGTGAATGTAAGTAAGATTCATTTTGTAAATAAAAATATTTTGTAAATATATATATGTAGCTTCCCAACAAGTAACAACTATAAAATCTATGGAAAAACCACCAACTCCAAGAAATGAAACGAATTTATGTGGATTACAAAATCAAGGAGCGACTTGGTATGAATGATATTATTTTATTTTATATGATTTAATTACAAGTTTTATTTTAATAGTTATTTAAATGTACTCATTCAAACATTACTTTATACACCTGAATTCCGAGGTATGTATTGTAGAATATAAATAATCTTATTATAATTGTTACATCATGATCTCGCTTATCAATATTAGAAGTAGTTGCTATAATACAGATTTATGTCTGATTGAATGATAAAAGCTATTCGCAGCAGGAGAAAATATCTATTTCATAACAGTTTGTTATTCTTATATACAACTTTTCTATGATTACACGTCTATAATCATCATCAAGGGCTTTATTTTCCAGCGAGTTAATGTCTTCCAATTAAATTAAAATTTTTATGAGGATCGATATATAGTCTGATTACAGGAGTCTAAAATTTGAAAATAAACAATATTCTAGCAGTTCTTTCAAAGGAATTTGTTGATGTATCATCTAGAATTGCTGTTCAATACAAAATAGTACAATTGAACAGCTAATATTTTTGATATTGAAGGTATAAAAATAAGTAGGAAGATATCTTTACACTGACTATTAATAAATGAAAAAATATTGAACAGTTGTGATTTTTAACCGAACATTTTAACTTATCAGATTCACAAATATGTATTATTTTCTATTTAGAACCCCTTTTCCGTCTAACTTCAAAAGATCTCAATCTTCCTGCTAATTACAGCGAACAGAATCTATCATCACCAGGTGCAAATAATTTAAAAGTAAATTTCTTTGTTTAATTTCATTTCGAAGTTCTATTAACAAAATCCGATATTATAGGTTCGTAAAATAATTGTTGAATTACAACGTCTTTTCGCTGAAATGCTTTTACTCAATCAACAAGCGTGTTCATCAATTCGGTTAACTGATAGTTTTGGTTGGCAATCGAATGAGGTTTGAAGATAGTTATATATAGAAAAAAAAACTTTCCTTAATTTCTTTTCAATAGGCTATTGATCATCAAGATGTTCATGAATTAAATCGTTTATTATTTGATGCAGTTCAAAAATCTTTGCAAGGTACAAAACAATCGAATTTAATACGTTCATGCTATGAAGGATCTACAATTAATTATACACAATGTAAAAAATGTGAAAAAATATTTAAACGATCTGTAAAATTTGTTTGTTTTTTTCCTTTGACTTGTTATGAAATATTTTGTTTATAGGAAGATTATCAGGATTTACCATTGGTTGTTCAAGATACTCCGAATTTATCGACATCTCTAGCAAATATATTTACAATATCTGAACAATTAATCGGTGATAATCAATATCGATGTTCATCATGTTCAAATAATTTATGTGATGCTGAAAAGGTTTTTCAAATTGATTAAATCTTCTGGTTTTTTGTAATATATGTTTTTTGTTTAGTGGGCAAAAATAAGTAAATTACCACCAATATTAACTTTACCATTACAACGTTTTGTTTATGATATTAAAACTGGTAATAGACAAAAGAAAACTACCCGCTATGAATTTCCATTTGAAATTGACTTACAAGAATTTTGTGAAGTAATAATATTCTGTTTTTTGTTTCTAATTTTTTATTTTTGTTTTTCTTTGTAAGGAATCAGTAGCTGAAACAAATTATGAATTATTTGCTGTTGTTATTCATAAAGGTACATGTTATTCCGGACATTATTATGGTTATATTAAAGATATTGATAATATTGGTACATGGGTACGTCCACCATCGAAATCAACTTCAGTAAGATGAACGGTTTATTTGTAAATCTAAATGATCATTATTATTTTATTAGGTAAAATCATCAAGCAAATCAAAATCATCGAATACGTCTAGTACTCCATCTAACACTACTAATGATCAAACTACTCGAAATTCTAATGAATCTGCTGAAACTAAAGAAGAAACAATGAAAAAACTTGATTTAGTTAAAACATTATTATTATCATGTGATGATTGGGTTACTATTGATTATCTTCTTAAAGTATGTTCACAATAAAAGTCTTTTTTTTGTGAAAATTAATTCAAAAATAAACTCTTATCTCTTTTTAGACATACCGTGAGAATACTACAACATCATGGAGTCGTACTCGTGGTGCTAATGGTACATTTAATAAAGTAAAGAATACCTTAATTAAATTATTCATTCTATTTCTTTTTTTCTTATTATAGTTTCTTCGAAATCATCCTGAAGTATTTGAAGTTGATGATAAACGTGTTCGATTAGTTCAACAAACATATCCAATGGATATCGATGATAATGATATAAATGAAATGGATTATGAATCATCTCAAAATGATCTTTTAGAAAATCATGATGAACATTGGTTTTGTTTTGATGATTCAATTGTTTCGTGTGTTACACGAGAATATATTAAAAAACATTATGAACAAAATGATTGTGCTTATATGTTATTTTATCGACAAAAAAATCGTAATAGATCAAAAGCAAATACATCTTATGAAACACTTAATCTAATACCACAATGGTTGCGTGATGAGATAACAGAAAAAAATAAAATTTTAGAAGAAAAACGGTTCGATTTATTTTAAAAAGATTTGTTTTTGTAATATTTGATTTTTATTTTCTAGTGAAAATTATGAGAAATTTCAAAATCAATTATCAGTGACGGTTTATCCAAGTGATTGGTTTGAAATTGTAGATGGTTGTCGATTAAATTTGAATAATAATAATCAACTTTTATTTCCTGATCATTATGGAGAACATATATTTGATAAACGAACAAAAATAAATGAATTTATTTCTAAACTTGAGGTATTGATAGATTAAAAATAGAATTAATAGGTTCAAGAATTTTATTTATGTTTAGGATCTATATGGTACAGGTAGTCATTTCTATATTGCTAAAAAACTTCGATCTGGTCAATTACATATTATAAGTGAATTAACATGTCCAAGTAATGATAAAACTTTAGATAAAACTGACCTATCAACATATCATAATATTATCGTATATAAAAATCCATCATTATTACCCGATACTGTTTTACAAGGTGAAGAATTTGAACCAATTATGCTTAATATAGTTTATGGTTTTCCTGATGCTAGTCGTCATGCATCACGTTTACAACCAACAAAACATATATCAAAAAATACGACATTATTAGAATTAAAAGAAATTCTATGTTATGATTATTTTCAAAATGATAATCCTCAACGATTGAAACAAATACGTATGGGTAAATTAAATTTAGAAGAAAAAAATAATCGTAAATCACGTCGAGAATATAAACCAGATGAAGAAAAACAAACATTAGAACAATTACATTTACAAGATGGTGATACATTAGGAATTGACGATAAAAATTCATTGTAAATAATTATAGTTTTCTTTTGCCTTTACTATTAGATTAAATTTTTTTGTTTTTAGTGTACCGAATTGGAAAGATGCATCATCAAATAATACGAATTTAGGAAAAAATCAATTATCATTAACAATTAAAAATTGTTTGGATACTGCTTATACAAAACCAATGACTTATAGTTGTTTCAATACCACAGTAAATTTTTTGATATATTTAATATAGAGCAAAATCTCTCTTAGTAAGCGTTCTGTTAGTGTGACTAGTGAATAGTTTTCTTCTTTCTGTCGATTATTAGTTATACAGTATGAATAAGTATATTTGATCTATGCATCAACTACTACATGCATGCATTGAGGTGTGACATTATGACAAATGTTATTCTTTGTGAATCATAATCACTTAAGATCTCTAGAAATCAAAATATTAGTGCATCACAATCGAAAAATCTTTTATCTCAAAGAATTTAATTAAAAATTGATAAACTAGAGAATATATGAATAGTAGATCTTATGTAGCTGTGGTAAACAATATATCAATTTTTTCTTTGTTCAATTTAGCTCATTGGAGAAGTTAAATTAATGGCTATTCAAGCATTTGGTATATTATTAGAAGCTGACATGTGTCGTCTATATGTTGATGATAATCCTGATTTAGCTCATATTCCTTGTATGTTAAATTTTGATAGATAATTAAAAAAATCAAATCTTTTTTATCTTAGTATATGATCATCAAAGTGTTGATACAATTAATTTTAAAGACAATAATACAAATTTATGTTTAAAATTTGGTCATGCATTGAAAGAGAATGATCTTCTTCTATATATTTTATCAGATCGTGAACCATGCTCATTAGAACTTGTTGTTGATCAAAATATAACATTAACAGAATTATGGCTTCAAATTAAACATGAACTTAAGATGGATTGTAAATAAATAAATTATTCATAATTTCATGATTTTTATTTTATTTTTATTAGATAACGATAATGAATACCATTTATGTGAAGTAACATCATCGTTAGCCGATGATGAACAACCACTAAATGATTTCGATCAAACATTAAGTGCTAATTCACTTACAAATGGAGCACAATTAACAATGAGACCAGGAAGTGTTGCACCAAAAAATCATGTTCGATTGAAAATCTTCCGAATTCTCGATAAAATTTATGAACCAATGGAAGCTAGTACGAATAAAGTTTTATATAGTGTTGATTTTCTTATTAAAAAAGCAAGAGGATACTCAGCATATCTAAAATTTCTGAAAGCATTTCTGTATTAGAACGTATCTTCATTTAGTCGAAGTCTTTCACTGACGCAATCTAATTTTCAATAATACTTTGATCAAGTATTCCAGAGTCTAACTAGGACTATTATAAAACAAGTTAGTCGATGGAAAAGCTCCATTTACTATCATAAATTTCTTGTCTATTGATCTATCTTAATACTAATATTCGAAAGCTCATGTCTAATATTAATATCTATAATAATTCATTTGTTCTAATTTTTCTCTGAATTTAAAATGATACAGTTATTTTGTTTTCTTTTTCTTAGTTCACATTGATCCGAAATATAATACGATTGAATTTGGCGAATATTTTGAATTACCGATTATATCTCCATTTAATGTTCTTCGTGAACGTATTGCTCAATATATTGAATTTAGAGTTCCATCTAATTATGCACGTGATGTTAAACCATCAGAATTTATTCGTCTTTTTGATATGGAAAATAATCAACCAGTTTCTATTATTCATGAGCCAATTCTTACAACTCTCAAGTAAATATCTTTATTTAAAGAAAAAAATATCTAACTTCTTTTTTTTTGTTATTTTAGACAAGCTAAAGTACAAGATCTCGATTCATATGCATTTGAATTATTATCTTATCCTGAATCTTTAGCTAAAAGAGATTTACTTCTCAATATAGTCTATAATAAAGATGATGATGGAAATTATTTTCAACATCAATTTGAAGTTCATTGGCCATTAAAAGAAAATATCATTGCCAAATATGAATATCTTGAACAACATGTTTTAACACGTGTGGCATCATATATGACAAATAATCTTCATTTTCAAAAAGTTACTAAAGAAAAATTAAAAATAACTTTAGCGCGTTATTTTCCTGATCGTGCTGAATGGATAATTATTGATCCTCGTTCATCATCAAATACAAGTCAACCAACAAATAAAAAAAATAAAACATCAAATACACCAACAAAATCGAATCTTAAACTTGAACCGTATAAATTAACTGATTTAACTGTAATCGGTGTTCTTGAAGGCGAACAATTAACAGTTGAAGATTTTGATACAAAATATGATAAAAAAAGAAGACGAGAAATTCAACAAGAAAAAGAACAAAATAGATTAAGTCGTGACAAGAATCGAACAGATAATGATCATAATAAAAAGAATGGATCTAGTGGACGTCGAAAATCACCGCAAAATACAATGCGAATTGATGTTGATGATTTTGATAATTAATCCATAAGTTAACTTTATCTCTTTATTGAATTGTTATTTATAAATATATATATATTTTTTATACATAAACTAGACTCATTCCAGAGTATGTGTTGAATTTTCGTTTTTTTTTTAAATAAAACATCAAATGTGATAAGATCTGATGAGCTCTTTTGTTTTATTGAAATTCATTAACTTCACCTAATATAGCATGGCAATGCGAACATTGATGAGTAGTTTTTTTACATGATGGAAGACAAAATGGAATAATAAAGAGGCAACAACAAAACAAAAAAAGAATAATTGCAAGAGCAAAAGTAAGAGCAGTACTAGTTGTATGAACACGTGTATGACCTGTTACACCACAATGTGGACATACAGCATTAGTAGAAAATCGTGGCCATCTATAACCAGGTGGAAATGGTGTTCCCTGATAATTTAGTTGAGCTAAAAAAAAGAAATGATAATGTTTTATTTCGATACTATGAAATTCATTTACGTGGATTCCTAGTTTCATCGATTGTTTTTGGTTGATATATATTCGATGGATTTGATGATGATTGAAGAGCTGCATAATAAGATGGAGGTGGTTCTTCTGGAGTTATTGCATATGTTATGTGATATTGTTGATCTGTATTTGTGTGATTAACTTGATTCGATTGTTCATACGAATGTTGATGTAATGTTTGATCATTAAGGTTTGATGATGATGATGGTTCATTTGTTGTTACTGGTTCATGGAAATTGTTATGCATCTTTTTTGTTGATTCTTTTTATAATTAATCAAATTAATCGACGGCGGGATACGAAAAAAATAAAATTAAGCATGTTTTTTCTCCGATCAATGTGTGTATAAAAATCATTCAACCGAAACAGTAATAATCACTGTATATGACTAAGAAAAAGACGACGCATAACATGTCATCTATTGTATAGAAATGCAAACTCATTATTGATTCATGTGACATAGCTAATGTCCGATTTTATTTGAACTCAAAAGAAAAAAAATATGTTGTGTACTTCGTTCCTTTTAACTGGTGACAAAAAAAAAGAGTTCCGACGCCGGGAATCGAACCCGGGCCTCCTGCGTGAAAGGCAGAA